ACTACTACTACTACTATTACTACTACTACTACTAATACTACTACTACTACTACTACTACTACTACTACTACTACTACTACTACTCTAACTACGACTACTACTACTACTACTACTACTACTAATACTACTACTACTACTACTACTACTACTACTACTACTACTACTACTACTACTACTACTACTACTACTACTACTACTACTACTACTTCTACTACTACTACTACTACTACTACTACTACTACTACTACTACTACTACTACTACTACTACTACTACTACTACTACTACTACTACTACTACTACTACTACTACTACTACTACTACTACTACTACTACTACTACTACTACTACTACTACTACTACTACTACTACTACTACTACTACTACTACGAACGACCAAAGGCGCTGGCCGACAGGCACCAGTCCGTAAGATGGCCCAGAGATGACCACTAAGAAAGACGCTCCAAGCCACAGGCACGAAGGGCGGCCCAAAGATGCCCACAAGCCAGCCCCAAGAGGAGCCGAAAACACAGATATTGTCTGAAGACAGCCCCCGAGAGGCCACAGTAAGCCCCTCCTCAAGAGTCCCCAAAATGCGCCGACAGCCCGCGAAGGGGCTTAACACATTTCCTGCTCGTGTTTTCGGGTGTCGAATGGTGAAGCGCGGGTGGGAGCATATTCCATGAATGCTGCAGTCGCTGACCCAAGCAACAGCTTCTCCTCAATTCGAGCTTCACACGACAACTTGGGGAAACTACGACCATCCAAGAGCTTCCCTATGCCCACGAGCATACAGGCAGAAGGCAATCATGATACGATGCGGGCTGGCAGAGTGCGCGAAGCGGTCTGCCGCCGCACCAGGGAACGACGTGTGAGATACCTGCCGCAAGGTTCTGCCCGGAATGGCCTTCCTCAACTCTCTAGTCTACATACTTGTATTTTTTCAGGGCCTCGAAGTCTACACCACGTTGTCTGGCCGGCCAAGGAGCTCGGTGTATAGACGTCCCAGCATCCAAGGCTGTGAGACGCCAGAGAAGCTGTATTTATACCGAGCTTCTTCGCCAAGACGGGTGGCTCCGCGGCCGACCAAAGCATGTGGAGAAGACAACAAGCCCCCCGATTGTATTTACCAATTCCTCTGAATTCAAGGAAGAGTCCAGTTCTATATGATTCGAGATAACGCCTGTGACCGGCCCCGCACCCCCCCCCCCGGCCACATCACGATTCGCGCCAGCGCCGTCTGGATGAGCCATGTTGTAGGCATCGCCACACGGCACAGGCGGGAATCGTGTCGGGAACCTTCTGACCCGGGTGAATCCAGACCCGGGTCAGTCAGGCCTTGCAGGCTCCTGCAGAAGCTTTCACCCAAGCCCAGGTCAATGCCACCCTGGCGCTGCGAGGTTCTGCAAGATCCGGCGGTCTGACCCACCCCCGCTTGCATGAACCCCCATATCTCTTGAGCCCCGATCGTGACGTGACCAGCCCCCGCCGGTCACGCCCGTCATCTACCTGCCTGGAACATCTTCCTATCCCTACGTTGGGCATCGCCTCATCACGATGGCGGTCTTAGGGATTTCCTCGGTTTCTGGGGGTGTATCCCTAAGGGATAGGTTCGAGGCTGGTGAGTTATCGCCAGGGGACACAGGAATCGGTCGCCCAGTCCTCTGGAGCCCGGGCACGCCTCCCGGTCCAGCATCTCGCCCTCAGACCTGGCCGGCTCTCCGCCGCCCGAATCGTCGGCGGCGTGCCCAGAGGGGGAAGGCAAACAAGGGGGGGGTTCTCGGACTGCTCGGAAGGCCTCCGGCCTTCTGACAGGTCTCCGAGGCCTCCTCCGAAGACAGAGGCGGCTTCTCAGATGACTACCTACCAGACCACCCCAACCCAACCCGAAGACCCGAATTTCGGGTTGGGGGGGGTAAGGGTTCCACATGTGTTTTTCCGATGTTTCCCGACCCCCCCCCCACTGGAAATCGAGGGTAAATCTGAGCCTTCGGGTTGGGTTGGGGTGGTTTGGTGGGTGGTGATCAGAGGGCTGGAGGGCTTCTGAGGAAACATGCTGCCATCTCGAAGGCCCGCCCCGCCCCCTCTCTCTTCACCCCTGGACGCGCCGCCGAAGATCAGGAACGCTTGCGCACGGGGCGCTTCCAGACGCCCCTGGACGCCGTCGGGGAGCCCTCCGGAGGGCCAAAAATTGGGGGCCTCCCGAAGCCTTCTGACGCACTCTGGGCTCCTCCTTGGGGCTCTCCTCGACCACTTTGGGGCCGCCGTCCTTCTCTTGCTCCTCCTCCTCCTCCTCATCTTCGTCCTCCCTTGTGCCTCCTCCCTCCGTCAGATCCCACTTTCTGCCTCCCTCCTCCTGCGTTCCTCCTCCCTCCTCCCTCCTCCTCACCTCATGCCAAGCCACGCCGGTTCTGATTACCCCCGGCGGGGCCCGAGAGGAGCCTCCTCCGAGCAGCGGCCAGGGCTGATGCCGTAGCCAGGGTACTCCACGAGCAGCACGTGCACCTCTGTTCACTCCTCCCTCGTCCCCCCACCCCCCCGCCGTGGGATCGAGGAGACAGAAAGAGGGACGAGGGAGGAGAGAGGAGAGAGAAAAAGACGAAGCGAATATGGAAACGGCGGAAGGGGAGGGATGGAGGGGGAGAAGATAGGGGAGACGGAGGAAGGGGAGGAGGGAAGGGAATTCAGAGGATATCGGGGCTCCTGGGATTCTAGAGGGGTCCTCCTCATCCTACTCTCCCCTCCTTTCCTCACAGTGGTCAAAATACCATGGTTGCGGTTCTTACTAAATATACCGTTGGTGTGGCCAATCGGACTGATAGTCCTATTACTATTACGTTGCAACACCATCATCACTACCGACGCCATCGCCATCACCATCATACATAGAAGTACAATCATACACATGACCGCCAGCATGTTCACCGCCACCAGCATAACATCATCGTCGTCATCCCCATCGTGACCATCGTCGTCACCAAAATCGTATCGAAACTCGCCATCCTCATAAAACCACAATCACGATCACAATCAATGACAACACCTCCGCCCCGCTACAGCACCGGACTGCTGTTACTGCTGCTGATGCTACTGCTGCTACTGCCACGAGCTCTACGACAACTTATACTGGGGGAGACTGGGGGAGAGGGACGAAAATAATGAGAAAACAACTTTATCCTCACGACGAACTCGACCATATGCATTTGTGAGTACCGCGTTGTGGCCATCGCGTTCGATGGTGCTCCCAATGGGGCCACGAAACGTGTGAGGAAGGTGCCGAAATTAATGGGGCAATGCATGCGAACTGCGCCACGGAGGTCTTAGATAGACCTCCCGATGGGGCCACGAAACGCATGAGGAGTGAGCCGAAATGGGTGGGAAACCGCATACAAACTCTGCGCCACGGAGGCACTCGGTGGAGCCCCCTTTATGGGGCCACGAAACGTGTGAGGAGTGTGCCGAAGCGGACTTGACGCCCACATGCGAACTGCGCCGCGAGGGCACTCGGTGGAGCTCCCGATGGGGCCACGAAGCGTGTGAGGCTGGTGCCGAAGCGGGCGTGACGCCCACATGCGAACTGCGCCACGGGAGCCTTAGGTGAAGCCCCCTAGGGAGCCACGAAGCGTTTGAGCCGTGTGCCGAAGAGGAAGTGACGCCCACATGCGAACTGCACCACAATGGCACGCGGTGGAACTCCCTGTCTGTGGAGCCGTGAAACGTTTGAGGGGTTTGCCGAAATGGGAGTGACGCCTACATGCGAACTGCACCATGGGGGCACTCGGTGGAGCTAACCATGGAGCCACGAAACGTGTGAGGCGTGTGCCAAAGCGGGCGTGACGCCCACATGCGAGCTGCGCCACGGGGACCTTATAAAGAACTCCCTATGAGGGGCCACGAAACGTGTAAGGGGTGTGCCGAAACGTTCGTGCCGCCCAAATGCGAACTGCACCACAATAACACTCGGTGGAACTCCCTGCCTGTGGAGCCAAAACGTGTGAGGAATGTGCCGAAACGGGGGCGACGCCCACATGCGAACAGTGCCACGGAAACCCTGCATGGAGCCCTCTATGGGCATAGCCCATGGGGCCGCGAAACGTGTGTGAGGGGTGTGCCAGCGACCATACTGTTGGTGATGGTGATGATGCCGCCGATGACCATGATGTGATAATGATGCTGGTGTTGATGTTGTTGTTGATGATGATGATAATGATGATGATGGTGATGCTGGTGATGGTGATGCTGATGAAGATGAAGATGATGGGGGTGATGATGGCGATGGTGGTGATGAAGGTGACGGCAACGATGACGATCGATGGTAATGTCGCGAAATATGATGTTGGTGACGATGATAATGGTAACGATAAAGATGATGATGATGATGATGATGGTGATGATGATGATGACGATGATCTGTATGTTGATGCTGATGCTGATGTTGAGGCTGATGGCAATCATGGTGATAACGGTGGTGGTGATGATGCTGATGATGATGGCGATAATGACGCCGATGACGATGATGATGATGAGCAGCATGATGATGATGATGCTGATGATGATGATGATGATGATGATGTTGCCGATGGTGATGGTGAGGATGATACGTGTGACGAGGATAATGATAGTGGTGTTGATAATGCGTTAATGATACTGGTGGTAATGGTAAAGAAGAACAGGTTGATGATGATGGTGACGCTGATGCATGCGGTGATGGCGGATATGATCATGACCATGATGATGAATGGTGGCGATAAGAATGATGATGAAGAAGAAGAAGATGATGATGATGATGAATATGATGATACTGATGATGATGAGCATGATGATTAGTAGGATAGTGATGATGATGAGGAGGATGCTGGTGATGCTCATGGTGATAGTGATGGTGATGGGGATGGTGGGTTATGGATGACAGATGATGGACGCTACTGGTGATGACGATGATGATGATGGATGATGGATGATGGATGACGGTTGGGAAAATAGACAGACCGACCGACAGGCAGCCAGGCTGACAGACACACCGATATTCAGAGAAATCCCGTTCCTCCTGCATCGACCTCCTCTTCCTCCTCTTTCCCCTCCTCCCGCGCTCCTCCTCCGCTCCCTCTCCTGCTTTTCCCTCCGCCGTCCTGGGGACACATCGGAAAAATGTTCACCTCCCAACAGGCACAGAGCGCCGTGAACGGAAGAAACGGCACCTCAGCCGTGCCGAACGCGCGCTGTGCGTGCTCGCACGCTGCGCGCGCTGGTGTGGCTTCCTTTCCTCCACCACCCTCCCCCAGCTCACCCACGCCCCAATGCCGCCCAACTCGTGCATCTGCTTATGGAGGAGCCATTGGCACTGAACATAGATCCCCCCCACCGTCCTTCCCCTCCTCCATCCTGGCCTCCTTCCCGACCGGCCTTCCGAGAAGCTTTCTAAGCCTTCCCAGAAGACAGAAAACACCTCTTAGAAGGCGCGAGGGCTTCTGAGAAGTCCCGCCGCCTTCTGAGAAGGCCTTCTCCTTCTCATTTCCCCCCCTCGCTCGCCGCCGATCCCACTCCCCCTCCGTCCCCCCCCTTACTCAAACCTCTAGCCCCGCCCCCTCCTCCCGTCATCGTCCACATCCCCGTCCTGATCTGACGACGACCCTCGTGCCCTTCACAAGGACGCGGGCGCGCGCGAGACCAGCCCAGCGCCATAGGAGGTCCTAGAGCGCCCGTCCTCCTCCGACGGCGACAGCTGCGACGGGGACGACGACGACGCCGACGACGACGACGACCACCACCACCACCACGACGACGACGGCGGCGGCGACGGCGGCGGCGGCGAGGACGAGGACGACGACGGCGGCGACGAGCAGCCCGGGCACCTCCAGCGAGGAGCGCACGTCGCAGCCGAACTGGTAGCACCAGCCCACGTCCTGGCGGGGCGAAGGGCCGGAGCGGACGACAGCAGGGGCTAGGATTCTGTCGGGCGTGTCCCCCTACAGGGGGATTTTGGGCGAAAAACCAAAAATACTCAAGAGATGCCCCTTGAATTGGCAATAATAATAATAACAAAAAATCAAAAATCAAAAACAAAAAAGAACGTCCCCAGATTACTTGTTGACTATTTCTGAATTTCCCTCCTGTAGAGGGACAGGCCCGACTGAAGGTTTGGATGCGGCAACGACTGGGGGGTCGCTGACGGAAGGAGTCAGGGGGAGTGGAGCCCCTCTGGGGGGCTGCTACGTCGGATGGGGCCGCGGGTTGAGCGGAATTGAACGGGCTCAAGCCGGATTGAGCGGGATCACGATGGACTGAGCCAGATTTAAGCCAGCTTTCGGACCAGGGTAGAGTCAGAATTTGACCTTCCAGGAGCCGCATCCGAGAACGGCGGCTGGAAGAAAAAAACGACACAGCATAAGAAAAACAAATCACGTAAAAAAAAAAACATAATAAACAGAAAATGTTGGTGCTCCGCGCGGATGGATTGGATCCGCGCTGGGGCCCCCTCCCTGGCGTGCGGAGCGCGCCGGGGGCGGCGCTGGAGGCGTTTATGGCGCCGCCAATAGTTTGGGCTTGTGGCGTTTGTTCTTCGAGGGACAGCATGCGAATGTCGTTGGGAATGCGACTGCGACTGCGAGAACAGCAGAACTCTACAACTGGAATCTCACCTGAATCTTAAGGGGGATGCTTCAAGATATGCTTACACACATCGCTGTTAGGTTGCTTTGCCGGGATAATTCTTCTTCTTCGAGGGACAGCAGGGGCGCCGGGGAATCAGCGTCGCGCGCCTGGTCTACAGGCGCCGGCGCCTGGCGGGCGCCACCGCATCGAGGAAGGCGCCAAAACGGCGGGGCCGAAACCGGCGGCACGCGACAGACTTCGCACCCTCCCGTGCCCAGTCCGTCACTCTTCGTCCAGCCTAAAAGAGGCGGGAGAGGGAAGAAAGGAAGGAGGATGCGAGACGGGGGTGTGTCTGTGTATATAGATATATATATATATATATATATATATATATATATTATATATATATATATATATATAATATATACATATATATATATATATTACACCACAGGAAACCCCAATCAATGGATGGTTTGACATGGGATCGATCAAAAGATCGATAAGAAGGAGATCGACCGGGAACCCAAGAACCCAGGAACTCAGAACACATCGAAATCGGCCCGGAATCAATGACCAGGAACCCGGGAACCCGGAACCGGGAACCCAGGAACCCGGCCGGCTACCAAAATCGGCGGGAAACTCTCGCCAAATCTTTCAATTCCCGCTAGAACACCTGCAGTGGCAAGCACTGATTGAGAGAGAGAGTGAGGGGGCCGAACGGTCATTCATTGTCCCTGGGTGCGTGGCTGAAGTGGGGATCCGCGGTGAGGACTCTGCTTGTTGCGTTGTTGTTTGTTTTTTTTCCCCACCGCGACCAACCCGCGACCCACCCTGCGACCCACCCCGCGACCCACCCCGCGACACACCCCGCGACCCACGACCCAACCCGCGACCCACCCTCAATTCATGCAGGAATCGCGCTCGCACGCGACTTCCTCGCAATTTATTCAGACGCCGCGCCCTCGACACTCAGGAATCACGCTCTCGCAGTCGATTTCCTTGCGATTGATTTGGGGATCGCGCATCGCGCCTGCTCGACCTGGCCGCCTGTGCCCGCCTTCCAGTTCTGCCACGTGTTTTCTGCTCTTGGTCCCCCTCCTGCCACTCTCTCTCTCTCTCTCTCTCGTGTTCCAGCCTCCTCCTTCCCCCTTGCCACTTCCCTCCATATGTCCTCTCTGTCCCTGCCTCAGGGGCTGCACGAGACACACGTCGCAGGTAATATATCTGTATGTATATATATATATATATGTACACGTATACCCCCAAGGGGGTACGATCGATGCCGAACAGGGCGGGTATCGAGACGTTTTGGGATAGACGTGTTGAATGGCACGCGAGCAGATAAGAGCGAACAGGTGTAAGCTTACTGTTGCTGTTGCTGCTGCGGTTGTTGTTGTTGTTGACGTTGGTGGTGTTAGTGTTGTTAGTGTTGTTGTTGTTGTGAAAGTAATAATGTTGGGATTGTTGTTGATGTTGTTGTTGTTGATGCTGTTGTTGCTGACGTGGTTGTTGTTTGTAATTTGTTGTCGTCGTCCCGTGCGCAAGCCTGCCCGCGACCCACCCGCGACCCACCCGCGATCCACCCGCTAACCACCCGCGACCCACCACGCGACCTGACCGCGACCCGCCCGCGACTCGCACGCGACCGACCCGTGACCCGACCCGCGTCCGCCACCTCACTCTAAACCGCAACTGCGGGGTGCTACATACATACTATCTATATACGTAGCACCCCGCAAATGCTGATAAGAGTGAGGGGGCGGTGGGGACGTCGACATACTGCGAAACTCCGGAGAAGCCCGCCGCAGGCGTCAAAGTCTCACAAATTATGCAACGAGCCAGCCGCAAGCGCCGCTTTTTCTTTAAACCCATATGGGTAGGTCGCGGGTGGGTCGCGGGGAGGTCGCGGGGGGGGTCGCGGGTGGTCGCAAGTGGGTCGTGGGTGGGTCGCGGGTGGGTCGCGGATGGGTCGCGGGTTGGGTCTCGGGTGGGTCGCGGGTGGGTCGCGGGGTGGGTCGCGGGTGGGTCGCGTGTGGGTCGCGGGGTGAAACCGGGGCCCAACAACACAATTCTCAGACTCAAGACTTTTCCTGATAGAAACACAGGGTGCGAGCCCCAGGGAAAGCACAAAATGTGCCCCAGAGCGGGGGATCAACATACATTAGTCTGTATTTATGAAAACTCAGCCCACCTCAGCCACTCACCCAGGGACAGTGAATGACCGTTCGGCCCCCTAACTCTGATATCAACAGATGTAAACACCTTGATATATGGAGATAGATGCAGATATCCGTAGAAGTGTATAGATGTGTGTAGATTTACACATCGGTACATAAACTGATACCTATCCAAATGTAAGTGTATATATAGGCATATATATATATATATATATATATATATATATATATGTATATAGGCGCGTGTACATTAATTAAAATGAGGGGGCTGAACCGAACGGTCATTCACTGTCCCTGGGTGCGTGGCTGAAGTGGAGGATTATCGTTGTTGTTGTTGACCTCTCATTTCTGAAAAATAAATATTGCTGATCCCCCTTTCCACCGGCGCATACTGTTTTTTCAAAATCAACGTGTGCCCCTCGACGCTCGCACCCTGTTGTTTGACAGGGAAACTCGTGATGCTCAAAGTGGGCCCGTGGCCCCTGGGGTACAACAACAACGGCTTCCGCCTCAAATTTCCTTACAATTTAGCCACGACCCCCGTTCCCGCCCGAGACTCCCCCGCATTTTATTGCAGAATCGCGTTTTCGCTCGGGACTTCCTTGCAATTTATTCCGAAATCGCTCTCCCGGCGCTCTGGAATCGCGCTCTCGCTGGAGACTCGCTTGCAATTTACTAACGAATAACGCCCTTGCGTCGGAATTACGTACAATCTACTCAAGCGCCGCGCTCCCGACAACCAAACGCCCAGGAGTCGCGCTCACGCTGAGGACTCTCTCGCAGATTACCGAGGAATCGGAATATCGCTGCCCTTCGTGGTCCCGTTGCAGCCCTTCGTGGCCCCCTCGCGCTTTGTTTCGTGGCCCCGTTGCAGCCTTTCGTGGCCCCCCAGCTGCCCTTCGTGACCCCGTTGCAGCCCTTCGTGGCCCTGTTGCAGCCCTTCGTGGCCCCCTCGCTTTGTTTCGTGGCCCCGTTGCAGCCCTTCGTGGCCCCCTCGTTGCCCTTCGTGGCCTCGTTGCAGCCCTTTCGTGGCCCTGTTGCAGCCCTTCGTTGCCCCCTCGCTGCCCTTTGCTGCCCTCAGTGGCCCCGTCCTTGCCCTCCGCGGCCCAACATACGTATGTCCTTCGTGGTCCCCGCTCGTTCGCGCCTTTGTGGCCCCATGTGCACGCCCTTCGTGGCCCCGCTGTCGCCTTTTGTGCCCCCCTCACTGTCCTACGTGGCCCTTTGGCCCCATCGTTGCCTTCTGTGGCCCCGCATTATCTGCCCTTCGTGGCCCCCTTCTCGTTCGCGCTCTTCGTGGGCCCATACGCATTGCCTTCGTGTCCCCGCTGTCGCCCTTCGTGGCCTACTTCGTGTCCTTCGTGGCCCTGCTGTCGTTCTCTCTCGCTCTCGCTTTCGCTCGTCGTCGTCGTCGTCGCCGCCGTCGTCGTCGTCGCCGTCGTCGTGGACGTCGTCGTCGTCGTCGTCGTCGTCGTCGTGGTCGGTCCCCTGTCTGTCCCTCTTGGGGTCGGGTCGACGGTCCGCGGCCGCCCCGCCGATCAGCGCTGCCGCTGGCCAGGCCGACGGTCCGCGGCCGCCCCGCCGCTTGCCGGGGCCCGGCCTGCAGGGAAGAAAAGTATACCCCCCAAAAGGGGTTCGATCGAAGACGGAGAGGGCGGGTATCAAGGGTTTGGGAAATACGCGTTATTGGACACTCGAGCACATAAGGGCGAACAGTCTTACAATGAGTGTTGTTGTGGTGGTTGCTGGTGGTGGTGTTATTATTGTTGTTGGTGTTGGTGTTGGTGGTGTTGTTGGTGTTGTTGTGATTGTTGTTGTTGTTGGTGTTGTTGGTAGTGGTGGTGGTGTTGGTGTTGGTGTTGTTGTTGTTGGTGTTGTTGTTGCTAGTGTTGTCGCTGTTGATGTTGTTGTTGTTGGCGTTGTTGTTATTGGTGGTGTTGTTGTCGGTGGTGTTGTTGCTGATGTTGTTGGTGTTGGTGTTGTTGATGGTGATGATGTCGTTGTTGTTGTTGTTGATGTTGCTGTTGATGTTAGTGTTGTTGGTGTTGTTGTTGGTGTCGTTGTTGTTGGTGTTGTTGTTGCTGTTGTTGTTGTTGTTGTTGTTAGTGGTGTTGCTGTTGTTGTTGTTGGTG